CAACTTCCTACTACCCGGTAAGAAAATATAAAAATAGACAAACACTCATGAAAGTTAAGAACAGATCTCATAATTACAGAAGCCAAAAGGAAGTAAAGGAAGTGAACTCGTTTAGACGATTGTTAGCTGTTTGAACTTAACTCCAAACAAAGCTACTTACTGTAAACAATCATCGCTGAAGAGCGAAAGTTTTTCAGAAAGTAAAGCCGTCTTCTTCCACCAAAAATAATCTTTCAAAGATAATTTCCTAGTATCTTGTTTACCAATAAGGTTTTACTAATGGTTCTTAAGAATAATCCTGCAATTTTTATTCACAACCGTTGAAAAAAAAAAGAAACATCAATAGCAAAACTCTTCTATAAACAGACGCTATAACACTTTGTCATTCAAACATGTGATAATGAGAAATAAAATTAGATTTTTAACCGCAGACGATGACGGCGATAGTACTACGACAATTACGACGAATTGCTCTTCATAATTACTACCGAAACAAAAAATTAACCATACATGTGAAATAACCGAAACAAAATTACTAAACTTTCACAGTCAAAAACAGAGCAAACTGTGCTAAGAAGATAAAGTAGATAAACAACTAAAATCAATTTACCTGATGTAGCTAATGGTCATAATGTAATCCGAATTAGATAAAAGCGATAGGAAACGAAAAGCAACGACCTATATGTAGCTTTACAAAAGTAACTTGGCTGAACAAATTACATCAAACATATTTTCCAATCAACAGTAATAAAGCAACAACGATCACAACGAAAGCGAGAAATGATGTGATATCAATAATAATAGTAATAGTAGTGGTAGTAGCAACAATGGTGAAAATAAAGAAAACAATAATAATTGGAGTAATAATAATGACAAGAACAATAATTATAATAACGATTATAACAACAGCAACAAATAATAATAATAATAATAATAATAATAATAATAATAATACTAATAATAGTAATAATAATAATAATCGTAATACTAAGAATCTAATAACAATAACAATAATAATAACAACAACAATAACAATAACAACAACAATAACAATATAAATAATAAAGTATTGTTTTCCTTTCATATATAAACTAATATTTTCTACAATAATAATAATAGTAATAACAGTAATAATAATAATGGTAATAATAATACTTATAATAATAAAACAATAATAATAATAGAAATAATAATAACCAATATGATAGCAACTGCAATATCACTACCTCATCAGGGCATTAGTACAATTAGTACTAGCAGCATTTAAAGCGACCATGACAAAAAAAAAAAA